GACGAGGGCTCTGAGCGGAGCTTCATGCACTGCTCTGAGTGACTCCCAAACACCCCTCTCAACTTCCCATGTCATCACCCACCTCCTGCCTCAATGGACTCCACCCTTAAAAACAGTATGTGAGGAAGGCAACTGCCAGGAGGCAGCTCTCACAGCCACAGCTCACCAAGAAGGGTGGGGTTGTGGGGCCAGGCCCAAGGCTTGTCCAGCATTGGTGCCCCTTAGCGCCTGCTGCCCGCCCATAACTCAGAGGGAAGGGGGGATGAGGCTCTCTCTACTGCACTGCAGAGTAGCACCAACCCCACCTTCTGCCTCAGAGGCGCCACTGTCCATTCCTCTCCCAAGTTCCCCATCACAGGAAGGGCCGAGGGCGGGGCAGCAGGCCTGGAGCAGGGATCTTGGGCCTGAGTGCCTCAGAGACCATCTTATCAGACTGGAGGAGACCGGCCCATGGGGAAGTGGTTTGGCCAAGGTGCCCAGAGGTGGGCAGGCCTGCAGCCAGGGCTCTCAACTCTGCGAGGATAAAGGCATTATATTGTGATAGAAAAAGAAAGTTCCCCATTTGGAAAATCAAGAAAAAGAGTAACAGAAAATAATAGTGACTTATACATCCAAGGGGAGGAAAACGGACTTCTCTTAGTTTGGTTTTGGCCTTTTGCCTCTATCAGGCTTTCCCGGAAGCCTCGCGCACTCCAAGAGCAGCTGTCGTCCTCAGAAGTGCTGAGGTGCCTGACTGTGTGGGTGGAACATCCTGGAGGAAGGAGGAAGCAAGAACAGAGGCCAAGGCCCCTGTGTTTTGCTTATTGTTCAGCCCTAAGCCAAGACTGGCTGGAACAAAACCCCAAAATCCACCCACAGCTGCCGTCCCACCTGCCTTGCACACAACAGGTATGGCGGGAAGGACCAGAAGCGAGTGCGAAAGAATCACTTCGGGTTCAGAAGTGGTCCCTGTCCCCCCCAAATCTGGCAGGGACCTTCTAGGGCAGAGCTCCTCACAGGCATGCTCACTGCAGCAGGGCCCCGTTCTGCACCGGGCTCAGCCCTTTCCTCCTTCTCTACTGACTGAATTCCTCCCTCTCCGCAGAGCTACACACCAAGAAAGCATAAAGACAGAGCTGCAGGTAAACGAAAACGTGAGGGCCTGAGGGGTAAGCCACCTTAGAAGAGAAGATGAAAAGGAAGAGCTGAGAAACCCAAAGTGCAAAGAGCAAAAACATCACCAAAGTTCCAAACCACCCTCAGCCCACCTGGATCCTGTGGTCTGTGATTGATAGGAAAGCAATGGACATTCCCTGCATCACACGTGTGAACGCCCTGCGCCAGAACGCACCTGGGAGAGAGCGGCTACGGCTCCAGGATTTCCCACTGGGGGAGGGAGACCTCCCACATGCAGTGGGTCTTCCTGGGGCACCGCATCTCCTCCAGCCAAGTCCCCTCCGGCAAAAGGGACTCTTCTAGAAGGAAAAGGCTTTGCTGAAACAAAGCAACCTCTTCACAAAGGAGACCTAATTACTTGTGCTGTGCAGATGGAACACTGCACAGCAGCCAGTGGTTCTAGGGGCTAAATTCCAAGGCTGATATTAGCCCCACACCGAGGTCCGTTCCTGCTGTACTCACAGTGAATGGCTCTTCTCAAAGGGAAAGACCGAAGGGCTCAGACCAACTTAGTGGCTGTGATGTTTGCTTAGGAAAAAACAGGCAGGTTGCTTTAAGGTCTAGCGGCCTTTGTAAACACAGCAGTAGGACACGAACACAGTGGACCTCAGACCTGTTTGGAAGTCATGGCAGTCGGGGAATAACATCAATTACAAAGGTAGAAACCAGGAACTAGTTGATTAATACAGATGTAACTATATCAGATGGAAGTGATGGAGAATCAAACCTAGAAGCACATCTGTGTTTGCACAGAGAGAGGAAGCGAGAACGAAATAAGCAAGACCAGTTAATAGATTGATTCTTGTTCCTGACATTGTATTTGTTGCTGCTTAATCATTTTCTCTCTGGCTAGTGGCTGCCAGCAGCCAAGCACTAGCAGGAGCTAGAAGTGTAGGAAATATTTGTGGATGAAAAACTTGAATTAGAAAGTTCTGGGTGTCAGTTTTACTTGTTCTGAAAATTGGTCAAGTGCTGCCATTTACTACTTTTAGGGCCAGAACATACCTCGGCCCACCCCGGAGCACAGGCGAGGAGCATGGGGCCAGTATTCAGAGGCGCAGACCTCTGTTAATACCTGGCCTGCGGTCCTGCAAAGGGACAGCACTTCTTGCCAAGTCTGGCTCAGACCTGCTCCTACAGATCATATTCCTCCGGCACTTACCAGTGCATTTCCCAAGCGCCCAGGCAGATCCTGGGCAGCCTCCTGCCATCGCTCAGACAAGAGGCTCTCAGGGCACGCCCCTGAGCCCTTCCAGGGCGGCGCAGGGATTGGCAGGGCTTCGGTGGCAATGTGTCTGCAGGGGACCCGGGGCCGTCCTACAGAAAGCGCCTGGCTCGGCCCCAGGTGTGCCCCTGGCCCACCGTCTCAGGGATGCAGGATCCTGGCCAGGCTGGGCCTGGCCTTTAGAATGAAGCAACTGCCTCATCTCCTTCTTGGATTCTTAAAGAGCTAGACTCCACCCGCCCTCATTCACAGAATCTGCAAACTGATATCTTGTCAGAAAATGCTATTTGGACTGAAAACATGTTATAGGATGAGATGCTTCTCTGTGCCTTTGTTTTCCCATCCATAAAATGGGGATAAGGGTTGTGTGAGGACTGAGTGAGCTATTTATTGTATGTAACTCACACAGACCAGTGAGAGGCAGCAGCTGCTGCTTCTTAGACATGTTACTATTATTGCTGTAGGAGAAGGTCTGGAGTCACACTTGGCTCAGCTTTTGCTCTTGAGGTACCAAGGAGAAGCATCATCAGCTAAAAGGAGAAAACAACTGCATTCAAGAGGTGCTGCTTCCCCCGGTCCAACAGCAAGAGAGGTTTCAGAGCCCACGGTCAGGGCTGCAGCTGCCCAGGTGCTGGGAGCTGCCAGGCGGCGGCTGGATGAACTCTGGGCCGCATCCCCCTCCCCTGCACTGGCTGGACCCTGGGAAGCTCTCACAGCAGTGCACGGGGAGAGGGAGGCTGGACTGCCATTGTGACCGCTGTGGTAACAATCTCCCAGGCAACGGCATATCTGCTGTATCCCTCTCATTTCATAACTGACTTTCAGAAGCTGAAACCTGCCCCGTTGCTTCCTGGGATGAGCTGGGGGTAAAGAATGAAAGGTCAAGGACAGCTCTCCGGGGATGTCATGTTTTCATTTTGCTCAGAATAAAAGCCATCGCTTCACTCTTCATCCTCAGGGCAACACCCGGCTTTCTGATGACCACCACTTTCAGGCAGAACTTGAAGGGAGTGTGTTTATTGGGGTTTGGGATACAAAGAGAAAGAAAGAGAAGATATTCAGAAATCTGTCCTATCTAATCCCCTTATTAAGTCAGAGCTGAGAGCAATGTGGACACCCAGCTTCTCTGACACTTTGAGTGCTAGTGCTGCCCAGCTACATGGGGAGCAAATGACTCTCGGGTGCAAGCGTCCTTGAGAAATCATTGGTCCCTGAGGTTTTAGGTGAGACCTGTGTGCCCTGCTCATGCTCCCACCTCTGTGCCGCATGTCCACCACCAGACCTGCCCGGAGCCCAAACACAATCATGTCTGAAGACCAGGGAGAAACTACATGTCCACTGAGCCATGTAATCCTAATGCGGGTAAGAGCGTTCCGAGGTAAGTAGTGTTACTATTTGCATCTCACAGACAGGAAAGCTGAGGTTTACTGAAGGCCACAAAATTGAAGCCAGAGTTTTATTTTCAAGTTCAATGTCATTTTTTTTTTCACCATCTCAGACTTCGGAGGAAATATCCTAATATCTGAGATGACTTCTTCAATGGGTCAATCCCCCACCAAGAAAAATGGCAACAAAATGCAAAGCTTTTCACAGAGCTCCGGGGAATAAAAACAAAACTCAGTGAACATTGTTGTGATACCAGAAGCCACAGAACCGGAAGCAGCTACAAGTAGGAGCTGGGAACAAAACAGTCCCAGGACAGGTGAACACTGACGGCTGGACATTGGTATCCAGGGAGACAGAGAAAGACAGAGAGAGGATAAGGAGGCAGGGCTGGAAGAGGCATCAGAAAATCAGAGAAAAGATGGAAAACTGGGGTCCCAGTTGTTGAGGCAAAATTACCTCCAAACAGACAAAAGTTCTAGGGTCCCAGACACTCAACTCTGAGCCAGTAGGTGGCCAGCTCTACCCCAAGGAGAGAGAGGAGACGTCTATAAGTTTTTGTTGGTCGATCACCTGTTGCCCCTTCTTTGGAAAGAGTACCCAGGTTTACATGTGGGAGCCATGTCTCCCCTCTCAGACACATTATCTACTCTAGCCCCAGGGCCAGCGGTGGTCACATGATCCAAACCTGGCCAATCACAGAAGCCAATCACCCAACCCCAAGGTGAAGGGATGGTTTGAGATACAAGACAGACCCACAAGAAATGCTGAGGACATGGCTGAGACCACCCTGAGGCCAGAGTCGGTGCTGCTGGGAGCCATCTCATCATCTCTCAGAGAGTAGCCTGAAAAGGGCCTCATTAGAGGACCAGCGGGGGGTGGGGGGGAGTAGGGGAGGGCAGATTTCCGGACACAGGACAGGTGCTCCTGAGGCCAGAGCCACGCCTGGCCTCCTCAGTTCCCACAGAAGCCACAGACGCCCCTTCCCTCACACTGTCAGAGCCGAGGGCCCATGGCCACACTGAGAGGCTAACTGTGTGAGAAGCCACCTGGCCCCCTCCTGGACGGAGGACCAGTTCCTCAGGAGCTGGCCGCTGAGTGCCATGTCTGCAGCTGTGGCCCCTCAGGACAGCACAGCAAAGCACAGCACAGCACACTACTGCCAGGAGGCCGAGACCAGAGCAACAAACGAGTCAGCTCTCCCCCAGCACTGCCTACCTGGCAGCCAGGCGCTTACCTGATACACATGGAATGCGTTCGCTGCTTTGCCCCGGAGAAACACGGATGGGATCCAGACGTTGATCAGCGCCCGGTTTGATCTGACCAAAGGAAAGATCGAAATGGGTCATTTCAATATACAAAAAAGGGGGAGGGGACTATCTTTTCCTCTAAGATGCATCATGCGCAAAAAATTTATGACAACGTCTCTAACACTTAACGGTAAAGGACCAGTTTAAGTTGCATTACTTGGTCCCCAAAGATTATTTTTAAAAGGCTTAGTTTAAAAACTATATATATATATATATCCTATATAATAAAGAGGTAATATGCAAATTAACCCTCACACCATCACAAGATGGCTGCCTACAGCCAGGCCGGCAGGGGGGTTAGTGAGGGACGACCAAATGACTGAACAAGCAGGCTGCATGGGGTGACCAGGACAATCAGCCTGGTGGGGGGGGGGCAGTTGGGGGCGACCAGAGGGCAGCAGGGGGGGCAGTTGGGGGTGACCAGGCTGGTAACAGAGGGCAGTTAGGGGCGACCAGGCTGGCCGGGTGGCAGTTAGGGACGATCAGGCCAGCACACAGAGGCAGTGAGGGGCAATCAGGCAGGCAGGCAGGTGAGCAATTAGGAGCCAACGGTCCAGGATTGTGAGAAAGATGTCTGATTGCCGGTTTAGGCCCAATCCCTGGGATTGGGCTTAAACCAGCAGTCGGACATCCCCCAAGGGGTCCCGGATTGGATAGGGTGCAGGCTGGGCTGAGGAGACTCCCCACACACGTGCACGAATTTCGTGCGCTGGGCCTCTAGAGATGTGGGCTCTCCCCAGATGACACCTTTTCTCGGAGGCTGAGCCTTCTGCCACACAGGCAAGTGAATGAGACAAGAGGGGGGTTCTGTTGGCCTTAATCCAGGGCCCATTCCACTCTCTTTACCAGCCCAAGGGGATTATCAGTCCAAAAACCAAGACAACCTAATCAGAAATATTCGGTCTAAAGATCAACCAAATTCCTTTGGGGTTATCAGCAGAGGTACTAGACAGAACTGAACCTATAAAAATCAGAGCAATGCACTGAGCTATTGTTCTTTCCAACAACCAGGGATTATAGATTCAAATTCCCAAGGAAACACACAGTCAATGAAATGAATGGTGAGCCACAGTCAGGTAATTGGGAGAAGTGTGGACTGTGGTTCACTGAGGAGCACTTGCCCTGTATGAAGGAGGAAGCTGCTGCTCAGCTCTGAATATGGCCTTGCAAGGATTTTCTTTTTTTAAAGAAAATAGAGAAATTTACATTTTTATGTGATATCTTTCAACTCTTAAATGTCAGCTAAAAAAAAAAATTGTTTTTCAATACTGAAGGGGAAACATAAAACAAAGCTGAAGGCCAGACTCGGGCTGCAGGCCAACAACGCCCCACCTCTACCAGAACCAAACCAGCCTGTGCGGACTTAAACAGTGATTTCTGTTTTCCCGTGTGGTCCTTCTGGGACTCAAGTCAAACCACAGAGTCCTATTTCTAAAGGGCCCTCATAAGCAGACGCAGTGGACTTACATTTCGAAATCTGACAAACTCTGATCTTCCGATGTTTGACTCAGATCTCCAGGCACCTGCCATCAGGAGGGGAGAAGAGAGAGAACGCATCGTGGTTACCATGGTTTGCATAATCACAATAGAACCCTGTCTCTCCTGCTCCCTGAGCATCCCCTGCTCACACGGAGGTGGAAAGGCAGGGCTGGAAAACAATGAGGCTCTGTGCAAGGATGCTAGAGATGATGTTACAGGAACAAAAATATGCCATGAGCGATCTCAATCATCTTTACAGAAAAAGGGCTGATCATCCTGCCGAGATAATCACAGGCACATAAAAGCAGGCAATTTTGGAGCTATCAAGGCCTAGTTAAAATCTGAGATGCAAGATAGCAAATGTGCAGAAAAAATTATCCATTGTTGCCAAGATGAACATCACACCACAGACGCATCCAATGCATAAACACAAACAGCCCCTGCCTGCCTCCTGTGGCCCCATCCTTCCCCTCATAACGTATCGAAACCCCAGGCAGCAGGACAGGGTCTTCGACTCCGAGGCCCTGGGAGGACATGGCTGAGTGTGAGACGAGCCTGCCTGCGTGATGGAAGCTACCATGTAAAGCGTGATGGAAGCTACCATGTAAAGCAGATGACACAGTGGCCAGCACTGGTGGATGCTCAATAAATGGTGATGACATCATCACACCCAGGATTCATTTCCTATTGTGAACTGATCGAATCTGAACTGGTTAGAGCTTAAGAATGTGGATCAGTCTGGCTGGTGTGGCTCAGTAGTACTTGAGTAGTCGACCTATGAACCAGAGAAGGTCATAGTTCAAATCCCGGTCAGGACACTTTCCCAGGTTGCTAGCTTGACCCCCAGTGTGGGGTGTGCAGGAGGCAGCTGATGAATGATTTTCTCTCATTACTAATATTTCCATCTCTTTCTCTTCCTCTCCCTTCCTCTCTATGAAATCAATAGAAATAATATATTTTTTAAAAAATGAGGATCAGAACTAAGAGGAACCAAATGGAACAGAGAAGGATGTGGAGTAGTGAGGGAAAGAGAACTTTTACTTCACACTGCGCACCTGTCAGAGATTTCATATTATATGGTAATCTACATTCATATTATACAGTCTGGGTAACAGTCCCAGGGGTGGGTTCCTCCCACCCCCTACTCTAAAGATGGACTGAAGTTCAGGGAGGCCGTGGGAGTGCCCACAGTCACACATACTAGCATACAAACCGGATATGAGTCCAGGTCTGTCCAACTTCAAAGGCTTTTCTGCTACAAATTCCCCCAGACAGAGGAAACACCAGCTAATAGGTGAAAGGAGAAGGTGAGACGTAGCCAGAAGTTCTACCCATAGAGCATTCCGAAGGTCCCCCTTAAAGAAACAGTGGGTTCTCTTCAGAGGCAGGAGAACCCAGTAATTACGGAGCCTGTGATCTGAGGCCTCATGGCTCAGGATCCAATCCCATCTCCCCTTTTTCCTGACTGTAGGGTCATGAGCAAACCACCCAATTTCTCTGTGTCCCACTGACTTCATCTGTAAAACGGGTATAACAGTAGTAATATTCATAGGTTACTCTGAGGACAAAGAGACTCAACTCCTATGAAGTATGCAAAACAGTGCCTGGCAGATAGAAAGGCCTCAATAACTGACTCGTGCACTATAATAATAATAGGACAATTATTGAGAAGTAGGAGCAGTGTGTTCTGTTATCCTTGACACTAGGCATGAATCTGTCCTGCCAGCCCAAGGGGTGTCTCTCATCTCACATATGGCAGCCCAGGCGGAGAGTAACCCAGATGGAGCCCTCAGATGTGAGCTAAGCAGTTACTAGTAGACAGGGCCCCAGGCAGCAGACTTTGCTAGGAAGCTGCTTTTGAGAAATTCCTTCAAGCCCAACAAGGAGGAAACCTGCCAAGACAGCCACTGGAAAACACTTCCATTTTCTAACGATCAGGAACTTGTGGGCTGGGGGCCGGGTGGCCTTGCTGTTCAGGTGACTGCCATTTTCATGCGGGTGGCCGGGAGGAAGGCTGGTATAATCTACTAGGGAAGCCACGAGGTGCCATGTCCCAAGATTCCCAAAACATCCACATCCTTTGCCCCCAGAAACCTCACTCCAAGAGTTTATCAAGAAGAAACAACCAAAGACCAACATTCACATCAAAGATCATTCTCTTTCCATTGCTTAGACAAGTGGGGAAAGAAGCAAACAACATGAAGGTCCAACCATAGAGGAATGATTCAAGAACATGTGGCATGTCCACATGAGATGGCCAAGCTAACAATGAGGTACACACACTGCCGAGGGTGCAAGCATAAAAGTAATTCCAGAAAAGTATATGAGCATAGTGACTGTGGCTATCATTGATAGTAGATTAAGAGTGGGGTTGGGGAGAAAAAAGGCATATTTTTCATTTATTATTTTTCTATAAGATTTTAAAAACAGTATATTTTGAATGAACTGCTTTTTAAAAAATTTAAACACACTTTAAAAGAAAATGATAGCATTCCATGTGCTGTTTTGAAAAGAGCTCCGAGACAGATGATCGAGTGACAGCAAAAGCAGGGGTGGTCGGTGGGTCTTACACACTACCATGTACAAAAACGAAGAATTAAGACTATCAAGTTGCATTTGGTTGTTTGGGGTTTGTTTTTTGCATCAAGAAGCTGTAGCAGTGAAATTTAAGATACCAAAGGGGCACCTGTGGGCTGGGGGTGGAGGTCCTGGAAGCTGGTGCACGGCATTGGGAGTGAGGCTGTCTATCAAATAACCTTTTATATCGTTTGAGTTTTGAAATAACATACTGCCCCCCAAGATTTAAATTAAAAAGTATAATCCCACCAATAGAGTGCTTTTGATCAATTTTTAATGGCACAGAAAAAAGCTCCTGCTCTCTGCTTAATAAAAAGTTGCTATAGACTGCAAATGCCCTGTGATTCCCAAAATAACTCACAATGCATGTGTGCCGACAAAGTCAGAATGAAAGAGACCTGAAAGATGACAGTGGGAGCTGGCTGAGAGGTCAGATGAATTTGATTATATATTTGAACTTTTCTGTACTTTCCACAATGAGGATGCATTAATTGTGTGGCCACAAACAGATACACCTTCTGTATTAATTTAAGTGTGCATCGTAAATTATATTTTTTCCAACTCCTTCCCTCAATGCATTTGCTAGAATGCAGAAAGCCAGATGGAAGAGACTTTGCCTTCAAACTCCTTGATGCATCAGGAGTGGAAAAGGGCAAAGGAAGGCTCTGAAGGCTCACCACCTTCCAGGCACTCTCTCCCCTTGACGGAGGGGGGCCGATGGGAAAGGCTAGGACTCTTGAGCCTTCTCTGGTGGGGTTGTAGGTGGCTCTCGGCCTCTCGTGTCCTCTGAGCTTCCCCTCAGCACCTCATCTCTCCTGGCATAATGAGAGGATCCGATGGAGAACACAGATGGGAGGAGGGACCGTGAAGACACTGGCTGCACCACTGTGCCCTTGTCCGCCTGGAAATGCTGTCTACCCAGCTGGGTACTGGCCATCCTCTGGGTTTACAGTATTCGACCAGGAAGCTGGCTATATTTCAGTGTGGAGCAGAGGGTACTTTATCAGAAATATAACTTTCTACTGATACTGGCCACCAACATTCCTTATGCCTCCTGAAGCCCCAGGAACCAGGAGCACAGTTCTGGGAGGCAGCCCTCTCTCTGATTTGCTCTCCTCATGGGGCATAATAAGTGATTGGCAGCTCAGCTGTCTTCATTCACTTCTCCTTGACCCCGCAGAGATGGGAGCTCACCCTCTGGCCTCGGGAAGCCATGTGGCAGAATGTGGGTGCGGGGAAGGCAGGGCCCTTGCTGGGAGTAGAGCAGCCAGGAATCCTGGGTTCTCGAGACCCACGGAGAATCAGCGTCTAGGCTGCTTCAGCCACAAGCTTCCACAAAACCTTGGCTCGATTCCCTGGGCTGCTTGGGGGCTGGGGGCAGGGACAGGTCAGCTGACAGCAGCCACCTCACGATGCAGGCGTGGGACAGGGACACGGGTTATCCTGACACTCTGACTGGGGAGTTCTCAAACTGGGAAGAGGGTACAAATACTAGAGGTTCTGCCACAACGAATGACAAGTGTGCTAAATAAATTTCTATGTAAAAAGGGAGAGAGGGAAGAAGGATGAAAGGAGAAGGGAGAGGGAGGGAGGTGAAGGAAGGAAAGGCAGAAAGAGAATCAGCCAATTGCCAAAACCATGGGGAAACTATTCGTCTCCCATTGGCAGAATCAGGACCCAGGCAGGTGCCCTCACCTCCTGTCCTGAGAGACCTGCAGATGCAGCAATGCCACAGTCCCCACAGCTTCCTGCTTTAGGCAGAGCTTTCCCACAACGACCCTCCTCACACCCTCCTCCTCACGGCCCTGTGGGGAAAGACGTTGCCCCATGTCACAGGTGAGGATGAGAGTGGTCGGTGTGAATAAAGTGAAGATGCATGAGTCCAACCCAAACCTCCCAGCCCGTGGTTCCTGGGCAGCCTCAGCCTCAGTGACTCCAGGTGGAGAAGCCCACCAATCCCATCTGAGACCCAGAGGACAGCCAGCGCCAACCACCACATGAACAAGCGTCCCATCTTGGATGTACAGCTCAGTCGAGCTCCAGGTGACTGTAGCCCCAGGTGACTGTAGCCCCAGCCAACACCTTATGATGTAACATAACCACCCAGCTGAGCCCAGCCAACCCAAATTATCATGAGAAGAAAATGGATGTGGTTTTTAAGTCACTGAATTTTGGGGTGGTTTGACATATACCAATAGATAGCCCAAAAAGTAACTTATCCGAGGTCATTCAACTAGTCAGTGACAGAGGTGGGCTCCCAATGCTTGTGGTCCGGCTCCAGAGTCTGCACTTTGCACACTGAGCTGTGCTGCCTCCCACTAGGAAGCCCCCGTGCTCTGTGTCTGCACCTGCACACTAGAAAGGCCCCATCTCTGCGTCTGCACCTGCACACTAGGAAGCCCCCGTGCTCTGTGTCTGCACCTGCACACTAGAAAGGCCCCATCTCTGCGTCTGCACCTGCACACTA